TCTCAAGTCTTTCAGTTCAGTCCCGGCCTGGATGTCGTAGTAGTAGAGGTTCTGCTCTTTTCCTGTTACAATGTGGGTGGGCTGTTGCTGTGAGTTTTTTGAGGGGGGGGGGTGGTATAGTTGCGCCTTGACGCCGGTCAGGCCTTCTCAGGCTCGGAATTAGATTCATAGACGTCAGGCCTGCAAACTCTACATCCTCCGGACAACGTCCCTGAGTGGAAGGCTTGGAAGGCCGGTAAGTTGCACATGCATGCTTTTGAACAGCCACGAAATCACACGAACTTTTCCAAGTCATGCAAAGCTAGGACGGGGCAAAAGGGATAAATCTCACTTAGCATCCGTCTGTTACAGGCATCGGAACAAATACCCATACCATCCGCAGGGTTCTTTGGTATCGTTATACTACAAAGGACCCTAGAATAGAAGCTCTATTCTAAACATTAGAGCCCCTACGTTACGGGGCTTCAAGCTCTATAGGGATACTTTCTATGTCACCAAGCGCTTGTGGACCGTGGCGCCTGCACCTTGTCCACCGTAGATCCTCAGTCTGGACGTCGTTAATCCAAGGCCCCAAACCCTCAACATTAGGGTCTTTGGTCAGGTTTGATCCCTTCGAGCCTCAATACCCCACCCCCCCTTCAACTATTGTAGGGTATTTGGACCCACATGCCGCATCCTTATGACTTCTTTCGAGCCGTTGCAATCAAGCCACCCCGTACTACCGAGTCCTTAGACTCTCAGCCTTAACACCCTAACCGTGATAATGCAGCAAACAATCCACGAGACGTTTTCTCTGCTCCGGCTTGCAACTAGTTAGGTTGCTTCACTCGGGATGTAAAGCAATGTACGGCTTAGGATTAAAAAGCTATAGGTCTCACGAATGCAGCTTGCAGACTATGAGGTTGGCCGATTATAGCAGCCTTTAGGTTCTACATGGGAGTTCCCGAAAATAGGGGACCCTGATCTAGTACCCTAAATAGTAGGATCCCTAATATAACGACCCCAAAATAAGGTACCCCTATTTTCGGAAACCCCATATCAAGGTGCAGGGTGCTTAGCACGTGCGCTTCGGTCCAACCCGCAGAGTCCTTTGGCATATCTTACAGGCCCACTTCGAGAAGATTGGGGCCATAGTACAACCAAGGAACCAATGCAAAGGGCACACTTGGAGAGTGCCCCTCGAAAGTCCGATTTAAAGCGGAAGCGGTTTAGGGTTTAGGGTGGAGGCCTGTTGAAAACATACTTCCGGAAAAGAAAAGTAGTTCTTTGACGACAGAAACATTGAACAACCGCCCAACCAAGTTGCGCCTACTTCCTAGTTGCCCTAATTAGCCTGGAATGAAGCCAACGGACCATGATGTCGTATATTTCTAAATGCACACCAAACTTGTACATTTCTGCATCTTGCCCAATGACTCAAACCGCCACCACCGCCACCAACAACGCCACGTACCCTTCGCCGTAAACCCCACAGCCCTAAACCCTACTCCCCGAAGCAATAAATCCTGACGAAGCAACCTTGCATTCCTAAACCCGAGGCCTTCGTAAATCAGGCTTGCATGTCGCACCTTCCCTAAGCCTCAACATGCTTCAACCCTCAATCCTATAAGCCCTCAACCCTTAACCCTCACCCTAAATCCTAAACCCTCAACCCGGAGCCCTAAGCCTAAACCCTCAACTCTAAGCCCAGAGTAGGGCTCTGGAGGGGCTGAGATTTTGAGGGTTCCCAGACCTTGCAAAATCCCTTAATTATAAGGAATATCCCTTAAATTATAGTAGGATCCTTAATATGATTTAAGGTATATTCCTTAATTAAGGGATTGTATATTCCTTAATTAAGGGATTTTGGAAGGTCTGGGGTTTACCGGGACCCCCCTTTACTTACAGGCGCTTGAATAGAGCCCTCAATTTACGGGCCTCACTAATTAAAATAGAGTTTGGGGGGGTATTATTTAGAAGCTGCCCCCACCCTGTAATAGTGACTATAAGGATTATATATGATTATATTAGGGCCCTAATATATTCCTATTATACCACTATTACAGTGTGGGGGCAGCTTCTAAGGTAGTAAATTATAACTACAATAGGGAACCACCAAGAAAGTACAGGAAACTATTTAAGTCCGTATATCATGGTCACGTATAGTGGCTATTCAGGGTATATTAGAAGGTAGTTGGCGGGTCTAGGTAGGGTTATATAACGGTTTGAGGCTAAAGGGCTTAGGAGGGTTTAGTGGTTACTGTACAAGGGTTCAGGATTTCAGGGTTCAGGATTTGGCAGGGTTAACGCCCAACCCCAACCCAAACACCCACAGCCTTAACTCTAAACCCCAAGCTGAATAAACCGAGGAGCAAGATCTTGCCGGTGTCGGTGATCGCCGCGCTGTGCCAGTAAAGCGTTGGCGGGCCAGTTCCGAGAGCATCTGTGATCTGCACCCACTCAGGATTCGCAGCCTCGCATGCAAAGTCCTAGACCCGAAGTACCCCAATGAATTTCAAGTCACACTCGGACAAGCCTGGCAAGGTCTGCAGCGAGACTTGTCTCGGAAAGAACTCGGAACAGCTGATAGGTCTCATGCGCCGTTCGTTGCTGTCAGATACAGTATAGACGGTAGCCAGAAACAGCTAGCAACCGCGGGTTTCGGCGCTCACACTCGGACAACTGCGGGTTTAGGGTTTCAGGCTAAGAATAAAGAATAATCCCTGCGCCCTAAAGCCTATAAACCCTAAAAGCCCTAAACCCTATAAACGCTAAACACCCAGAAGAACCCTAAACCCTATGAACCCTAAACCCTAAACCCCTAAATTAGCTTTTTTGTTACGTGCAAGAGGACTGGAAAACCGCGAGACCAGACAGGCCCAGGCAACGACTCCCGACTCCCCTGTGCAGGTTCAGGGTTTGCGGTTCAGGTTTCAGGTTGAAGGGTTCATGCATGTAATGACTGCGTAGATTGAATAGTTAGAATAGGGCTTGAGCGTATACTACATGTTAAAAACCTTTTAATTAACTTACGTTATACCTATCCTAAGCTTCTGATGATTGCTTCCCCCTCTATCTTTACATGAACTGAAGGCCTTGGTAGTAGGATGCGTATAATAGTGCGTATTAACCTGTCTTAATCGAAGGAGGTGGGCTTGCAAACCTATCGTTGTGATTACAGCTGTTGAGGCCTTCGGGCCGCCGGGTGGAGTATATGGAGTTTCCGAAGATCGGGGACCTTAACATAGTACCCTAAATGGTAGGCTCCTGATTTTCAGGACCCCAAAATAAGGTACCGCTAATTTGCGGGAACTCCCACATGGTCGTTACGAAGAAGTACTGGACCCATCAAGGCCCGTCGTCTGCATCGTAGGTCCTTGCCTCGCATTGTTCAATCGTAAGCCGAAAGCTAGCCCTAATCACAGTTGCTCTAAGGATATTGTGGCCGAGTGGCTGCAACCGAAACGGAGAGCCAGACGGCGCAAATGGCGAGATGCATCCGTATAAGGGGGGGGGTTCAGGTTCAGGTCATGTTCGGCCATTGGCTCCGTCTCACTCAGCTTGTGTCTGCTGTTTCTTGCAGGATCTCTCTATTTGTAAGGTTTGGACCTACGGCTGCGAAATACCAGCAGGAGACGAGATGTGCTCTGCGGTCTTTGAAGTCTGGCAAGGAAACCTACGGCTTGGCTACGTCTGAAATGGGCAAGATCATGGCAAACCTAGGTTCCTGAGTAGCGCCATAATAATAAGGGTACCTGTTTTCCCACCATTCGGTGTGAATAAGGGGACCCTAAGATATAAAGGGCAAAAGGGCAGTACTCAGGAACCTAGAAACAAAAGGGTCGCTTACAACACAAGAGCAACTCCGCAGCTGTTCACGAGGGTTAGGGGCTGCAACTTCCGACGCTAAAAAGGTCTTCTCTGCTTGCGAAGCTGCCAGGCCCTGTTTCAACGGAAATATCGGCTCTTGTTCAATACAGTTAATTGCAACATGTAGCAGATGGCTCCAAAGCCAGAAATCACCCCACATCCTCCAAACTATTTCTCACTTCCGTAAACCCTGAACCTTAAACCCTAAACCCTGAACCCTAAACCCCAAACCCTGAACCCTGAACCCTAAACCCTGAACCCCACCACTCTTTGCACCCCGCAGACCTCGAGGTCGAGCCAAGTCAGGATCAACGGCTGTCGGGCAGAGAACACCAGAAACACAATGGGGCAGGATCCATAAACCTCTTTTTTTTACTACCCATAAACCTAAACCCATAAACCTAAACCCCAGGCTTATACAATGCTACGACGCAGTAGCAGTCTGATGACATCACGCTCGGCGAAGATAGTTTGGCTCTTACTCAGTGGACAACCACCGAGAGTCCTCCTAACGCGTGAACCAACCGCACTGGCTAAGTCGCGGCATATTCTCCATGTACATGCAGTCGATGATGAAGGAGTCGCGGGTAGCTCGCCTTGTGGGGGTTTAGGTTTACGGCCTGTGCTGCCAGTAACTTAGTATAGGGTTGAATGCAGGGCCATCGTTCCGCACTAAGTCGCCAGCACGCCTAGCTGTTCCTTTCAAGATATCTTCTGCTACTGGTAGTTTGACGCAGCTCCCACATCTTGGCTTGTCGGAGCTCACCCTTGTCCGGTCTCAACAGATCTGCAAGACCACATCTGGGAGCAGTACCTCAGCGATGCGGTCTTCAAACTGTGCACTGTGCAGGATGACTGGGGCAAGTCGGGCTGAGTTGGGAACTTTCATCCTGTACAGCAGCATGCAGGCAGCTCAGGTGCACGCCTGGTGTTTCTCTCCACGTTGTTCACGACTTCGGATGCAGTCGACCGTGCTACATTGCGCAGGCCTGTTAGAACCTAAGCCTCAAATTTGTGCAGAATGGTCTGGCTATGAGCTGTGGCCACTTTGGGATCACGCTCTTTCTGCTCATCCATTCAACTCGTAGTCTTATGGTTGACAGTGGAGTGACACTTGGTTGGCAACCTTTGGCCAGAATATACCGGTGCATTCAATCAATGGGCCGCGGATAGACCTTGAACCTGTGGTTGTTCGGATGGATTCCATATTGGGGGTGTGGGAGAAAGCCAAGATCTCCAAAGCCAAGCTCTCCACAAACTAGCTCCTTTTCTTTTTCGATGTGACAAATCGATGGAGTGCTGCCCATCCACCAGTTGTAGGCATTCCGCCCGATGTGCCCTTGAGCGAAGCGAAGTTTGACCTGACCATACAAGATACGCTTCAAACTCATCCCATGTTATCTAATGTCTGGCAACGATATTACCAGCTCATGAGTTCTCTTACTCCTTCCATACCTGCAACGAGAACCTACCTTCTATTCTTGCGCCCTCTTGAACAGGCTTGCCGTAGTAAGTAACTCGATATTGTAGGAGCTAGCAGCTAAGTCATCCCGTTCATTCCTTCCATCTTTTCGAGGGCCCTAAACCCTAAGCCCCAAACCCCCCTATGAGCCCAATAAATTCTATTAACCCTAAAACCTAAACATTAAACTCAAGACAGGGCATCTCTTCGGTGGGCCTCACGTTTCTCGAAGCCGGCCCCACGCCGAAAGCGGAAGGTGGCAAGGCCCTCGAACGCGAAATTCAACTTCTCAGGGATCTGGTCGCCTGAACGTTTGGCGTATCATCCTAATCTGTGACAGTATAGTATAGTATACTGAAGTATAGTTCAATATGGTCTAGTATTTTCTAGTCCTGTATATTGATTGATGGTCATGATGCCAGGCATCTGGCTGTGTTGAGAATCCACCCGGACAGTTTTTTGCAAATGGCAATGTGGAAACAGGGGGTTACTGTCGATATCCTCGTTCAGTTGTTGGGAAAACGCGCAGAGGTGGCCTGAGCATTAAGTCCATGGTTTTATGCTGTGTACCCCAACAACTTAAGCGAAACCAACACATCTATTTGAAGGTTGGGCGTGAGCTACCCAATTTCTCTGCATCACTCTTCAGGATGCTGCTCTTGCGCGCGCCAGACATAAACTCATTGCGCACATCCTCAGATAACCACCTGCCCACCCTGAAGGTCAGGCGTGTCCCATTTGAGGTGACGCAGTCCTTCCGGATCGGCTGCCCTGGTGGAAAGTCATACCATTTGGGAGTAAAGTGCACGGAGTACAACGTTGCCCCCTTCGTTCCTTCAAAGTCCAGCACATTGTCCCTAAGGGTCGTCCCGTTATTTCCAGGTTCTGGTGCACAAAATCCATCTTTCGTATACATGCGATGGCCCATCGTTGAATTCACCACCAGCAGTGAGCAGTCCTCATCCGCTGCCACCACCAGCAAAACAACCGCCCAAAGTCCAACGGCGAACATCTGGTACCACAGACCCCGACTCTGAGCCAAGAGGACTCACAGAAACAGAAGGCTGGGTCGCGGGCTTCAGTAACTGCTGAACTTGACTGCCCGTGCATGCAACTGCAACACTCTAGTCCAGAAGCCAGCGCAGGAATCATGTCTAGGATCTTCGTCGAGACACAGACAATCATTCTCGGGATTTCTCACTCTTCATCGCAGGCAGTGCTTCCGGAGACAGTACCCGTCTACATGCAGTGCTGTTTTGTCTCGTGGTGGGGCTTGGGGCCTGAACACACGCGAACAAACGCCCTCAAACGTATTGAATATCTTAGAACCGCTCGTAGAACCATTCGTGCTTCGCTGACAAACTACACGTCATCCTGAAGGCCTATCGGTAAGTCATACTACGATCGACATACCAAAGCCCACAGAAGCTTCTTGTACGTCAGAGTATGGTACGGTCGTCTGCCCAAGAGCAATGATGAACACGCTTTCGTTACCTGTGCGCTTTTGTGAACACCTTTCATGTCTTTCTCACCTACTCAGTCTGAAGCCAAAGCCTGAAGGTTTCAAGACAGGGCCGAGATTCTTGGCAGGACCGTCGTGGCCCGGGAGCTCTGCGAATCGGTGCGCTGACCTTGGCTGGGTGCTCCGGTGGCTTTGATGCCTTCAAAATACAACACAGAGAACCCCATCATTGATCATCCCTCCGCCGCTGCATGCTGATTTCGAAGCGATTTTCTCGTGATTCCCAAGGATGTGGGGAGTGGCTCGGGCCAACCCCCCAGCGGTTTACGAGAGTGATTTCGGAGTGTTTTCTGTAATTTCTGGTCGTGGACGTGGAATGATTTACCGGAATAATTTCCAAGTGGAATTCAGGATTGATTTCGAAGCGATTCACCGGATGGATTTACTGGAGTGCTTTTGACGTGAGCAGCACAAAAAAGTGTAGCCGTTGGTACTGGGCAGATCTTAGACAGCGTCTGGCTTTTATTGAGTTACGGAACCTGTGATATCGTTCGGCTGTTGGCTATGCTGGTATATGAACCTGCTGCCCCGTCAGATCGCTAGAACATCACACCTACGTTACCCATACCCATGACCCTAAACCCTGAACCCTAACTGAAATCCCTCCCGAGTTTGCAATTCCTTGATGCGCGGTCGGTCTTTGTGATCGCTGCAGAATCAGTGTGACCGATCGCTCCGGAATCACTTCCAAATCAGTGTTCAAACTCCTGAACCACTTCCCAACGGTTGCCCGAAGTTGCACTCACAACTCTATAAACCAATCTAAAACTCCATAGCTCCTGGAAAGTCTAAAGAGTCCAAGTAATAGTATAGAATATACTCTTGGGGACCAAATACCTCCTAAGTACCTACTATATAAGGGATTTGGACCGTTTGGGAAGTCTACATATATACAATAAGAAACCTCCCTTAATGGCTTTATGAATTGCTTGCGCCACTGCCACACAATCTCTAGCCTGGTTCAACACCTCCATCAGTCTACTGGAAGCTGCAGCCAAGCACGAATCCGGTAAATGCCATTGCAAGTCCTGCAGAGGGAACCCAACCAAGTTCGCACAAATGAAGACCATTAGTTGCAGAAGAACTTTGGCAATACGATGTACAGTGACTGTCCAAGTCCTTGGGACATCTGAGCGCCGGGCTGGCCGCTAGCTGCACGCGGCCGGAGTAGGTCGGCAGAACGGTCGAGAGACCTCGGAACATATGACGTACAAATGAAGCTGCAGGCTCCATAAGCCACTTGGATGACATGTAGCTCCTGCTTTTCCTTGGCCTCGTCTCCCGCGTGAATTTAGCACGTAGACACAGAGAGAAACTTGAACTTGTTCTTCTCTTCACATGTGCAGCGCACAGCTGCGTCGCGGGCGCGAGACATGCTGGCGTTGAGTATGGCAGAGTTTGCCAAAGATGCTTTTGTGGACCATAGACCATCGATGCGAACTGGTTCCGCGATGACCTTGCCAGACATATCCTCCACCTGGCACCACACAGATCCGATATTCTGGTACGTGGACAGAAACTCAAGGATAACGAGACCCATGTTGAGCTTCACCACGAAAACAATCTCTTTAGGGCCCAGCCCGTCATACCTATACTGAACTTAGAAGCCTGGCAAAAATTACATTTTAGCTGTTTCTTAGGGATTATAATAACCAAAAAATAAGAAAACAATTCTAAGTACGCCTTCGATACTGAGGGTAGTGGACCTTATGCCTCGGGACCTGAGCCCGGCCAGGCAGGTCAGGCACGTCCAACTGACTGGCTTCAGGAACCCAGTTGGCAATCCAGCCAAACTTGCCGGGTCGATCTGCCCCAAAACGCCACTGGGAGGTATTGGCTACAACGCTGGGAAAGCTCATCTCACTGAAGTAGGATAAGTAGGTGAGGAGGCTCATCTTGCACCTGTCCTCAACGGACAAGCTTTGGCCACTCAGCTGCGTTTTCAACTCTACTTCATTAGCTCGGGCTGCCTCCAGCGTGGCAGGGTAGCCATCAATGCAGGCTTGCCGCAGAATTTGAAGCAAATTCATGTAAATCATTTGGGCTTGGATGAAGTGGACCCCACAGCCATAATGGTGGCTTGCCGCGCCCTTGTAAGTAAAGAGGTAAGGTATGCTGTTCACACTGTCCGAGGGATGTCCAAAACGGGGCAGAGCGCAAGCGATATCTGGATAACTTAGCATTGGGATTCTGAGGCTTCGTAGCACCGGGTAGAAGGGATCGAATTCCTCAAAAGCACCTGAATATGTGCATGCATCGAGCTTCTCCCATTGAACCTGCCCCATCGAGGCCATGACATTGGCAGTGTAAGTTTCGATGAATAAAATGGCAGGGGGGCGCTTCCAACTTTGCACATGCGCATTCATGACGAAAGCTTGATGTCTATTCCCTTGCACATCCACACAAGTGACAGCGTAATCAGGGATGATCAGGTCCAATGTCTCATCCTTCTGGTAGCCATGCAACACATGAGTCCAAGTGTCTTTGAATGGCGTGGCCGCCACTGCCCCTTGTATGACATCCAGCTGCAAAGGGCTGTTCTCCAGCTTGGATAGCTTCTCCAAAGCCGAAGTCCAGTACATGTCACTTCTAGACCTGCATCCCGCTCCGACTGTGTTTGAAGGCCCCATGGTGAGAACGCGTAGAGGTCTCCCTGCTTGCTTAGCCTCAAGCAAACGAATTTGAAGCCTCGCGAGGCTGGGATGATAGCTCTGATCCCTGGATCGCCGCGCCACCTCCAGGAAAAGGGAGGCATTCCTGCTCATTTCAGAAGCATTGAACAGCTCACAGGTCTCATCGTGCTGCTTCCATGCTGTGCACGCGGCATCCCATCCCCAGTGGAAGGCTGCAGAAAGCTCAGGGCAGCCAGGTTTCTGTGTTTCATGTGCGGCTGCGGTCTGCGGAGGAGGAGGAGGAGGAGGAGGAGGAGGAGGAGGAGGAACAGGAGCAGGAGCAGGAGCAGGAGCAGGAGCAGGAGCAGGAGCTGGAGCAGGGGGAGGAGGGGGAGGAGGAGGACTCGGGCCGGCCGCACCACCAGAAACTTCGAGGGCAGCGAAGGCTGGACCCAAAACCGAAGGGTTTATGGCCTTCGTGGCTACAGGGCCACTCTCCTGGTCATTCCTGGAGGAGCTTACCGTCTTCAAGGGACCACGCTGTGAAAGCAACCATCGCATGTGCTGGCTATCCGATCCGAGCAGAATGCCACAGAGCAGCAGAGCGGCTGTACACAATTTCCATCCCATTGCTCCACAATCTGTCTACAAACATGGAAGCCGCGCTTCACAACATCCTCGGCGTAAGACGAGAGTGACAGGTGCAAAGAATAAACCTGATCATCAACAAGTCTGCTGGCAAATGTCATGCAGGAATCCTGATGGTGCCAGCTGCATATGTGCTTGAAAGCATATTTGCCCTCTTAGGTCGAGCCAAGATCCTGAGTGCGTTTCGCACAGAACCTCATGCAAAGGCCTATGCCTGTGCATGGCGCTGAAGCGGGCTAATGTAGTGGCCTTAATAATTAGAATCGGGTCTTCGGGGTTTCTTATTATAACTCTAGTATAATATAGCCCCAAAACCCTATTCGAATTGTTGAGCCCCCTCTATTTGCCTTGATTGCACCTGCAGCTTCCTGAGACTTCGGACTCCGATAGGGTACGATTCTCATGGCATAGAACTCCGTGATCCTCCCGATTTTGTGCAAAACGTTCAACAACAGGCTTTTGATCATCCCAGCCTTTACCCTAAAGCCCCAAAGTAGTTCCTTTTGGGGGTTCATATTTAGAATCCTATAAGGTACTACCAAAAAGGAACTACTTTGGGGCCTATGGGTACACCCTTCACCGAGATGCCCCCTCTCAGCCTCCCGGCGTAACGACGGCGTGGACAGCACCGGATACGAACCTGATGCGACGCTGCCTGGTTTCTCAGATGATGTGCAGGATACCATAGGGACCTTAATAAGTGGACTAGTTTTTTGGGGTGGGAGTATATTATATAGTATAACCACAATCAGGAACCCCCAAAATAGCATTGGTAATTATTAAGGCCCCTGTAATAGGGATTTATTATAGGGGCCTGAGCTCCGGGAATTTCATACATTCAGTAACCTTTCTTGAAAGTCATGTCGGGATCCTGTTGGGAATCAGTTCGAACTTCCTGAAAGTCATCTGGGGTGGTACACGATTTCGTGAAATCATGAGTTCCGGCTTCTTTCGATGGTATACAGGGCGGCTGTGTGCTTTGCATCAACAGGGAGGCAAACAAAACCGCGGTTTCTTTTGTCACCCTCATCCCAACCTCATACCCACTTCCTCCAATCCAAAAGAGAGAAGAAGAGATCCAACCAAGAAAAATGTGGTAGTTTCCCAAAGAAGGGAACCACAATATAGATCCCAAGCTAATATGGTCTATGTCATAAGCTACAAGGACCCAAAAAGGAGCCCCTAATTTGGGGAAAGCCTCCGTACTCATCTTGGACTCACCTGGAATGC